AGGGGGGGGGGGGGGGGGGGGGGGGGGGGGGGGGAGTGTCCCGTAGCAGTTTATGGATGCAACTTCAGGACCAATTCAGAAACTAGTGTCCTAACCAACACTTCCAATTTATTAGTAAAATTAGAGAAGTTGAAAACAACATATAGCTTAAAACCGATCAATGAATAATGTGGTGTTGGTTAAAAAATCAAAAATCAAAACTCCTCCATTTATGCTGCCAATGAGAGACGGAAGTACTTGAAAAATAGTACCAGTGGTAGCAAAGTGAGATAAATATCTCCGGTAAGGCTGTCGATGACTCGCTCTTTCAGGAATTGCTTAGAAGCCAGCTGATGGCGGGTTTGATTCCCTGGCACAATAATTTATCATTAAAATAAATGCAGGAATCGTAGAGGAATTGACTGCTGTGCTGAAAAATGAAAATGAACAAAAAAGTATGAATTTGACAAATGTTCTGAAATTTTTTTAAAAATGAGCGGCGGCTTTCACACATATATCCAATAGACAATGCGTACTAACCGGAGATGTGCAGCTCAGGATCGAAGGGCCTGGCACAGCTATGTCTAATTATCGGACAGAACATTCCAGTAACATCACTAGCATGGGATAGCGACATTGATAGCCCGGTGCGGTCTCGATAATATTCTTAAAGAATTAAATCGTTCTTTGATGTTTCCCTTAACAATAAATAGCGAAAGTGCAACAGTGGTGCTTTATTAGTCATAAAATACATAATTTTACCCCTCTGGAATGAGGAACAAAAAATTTTTTGCTCTTTTTTTGACCTCAATATTTGGGTACTTTCGACTCATCCTCGAATAATCTTTGGAAAATGGAATCATTGCAATGGCTATCCACTATTGATATACTCAAATGGCGCAATTCTGGATGTTTCCACTTCTGCTAGAGAATAAAATACACATAAAACTCGTATGTTGATTTTAGAAACACCCTAGAATTTTTTCGCTGACCCTTAGAAACACCTTTTCACTTATACTTTGCCCAGCTGTTGTTACATTATCGAATTTCTTTTTGCCATTAATGCAGCTAATAGCTTTTGCATTCTCATTTCTTTTAGGTCTCTCCCAACCACATAATTGCATATAGCTGTTCAAGCGGATCGTTCCACCACACATTCACTGCCTTTTCTGGCGGCGTGGGTAGCATTCAGTAATTCGCACTGTCCATCTGCTATTTCACATTCACCAAAAATCAGATTACAGGTAACATGCCATCAAAGTTCTTGCAATGACAGCTGATCCAAGTAAACACCAAGCGTTGCTCTTGTAATGCTCGAGTGACGCACAGTTCCCATTGGTGCCCGCCCACTTATACAAGCAGCGACCGTTTCTGGGTGCAGTACTTGAGCATTTACTGTGTGTTACTTGTACTGGAACAGAATCACTGTTACTTGCCTTGTAAATGTAAATAGACATTTTACTGTTTCTGTTGTATTTTTGTGCTACACACAGAAATACCCCTCCATCGATGACCGGACTGAACGCTGGAATGCCCCGTGCACATCATAACAGGCCTGGACACTTCTGCCAAACAAATGTATCAAAGGCAAATACACGCTGGTGCAAGTGCATATAGACATATACACACACACACACACACACAC